TTCAAATATGTAGAGCGTTAGGCATGGGTCACGTTATAACACCAATTAAATTTCTCGTTGCATATTGTCTTCGTCACAACGAAATATGCCATAATACCCTCTTAACAAGAATTGGGGGGGGGGGGGGGGTGTTCATCTTGTTATGACTAGGTTATGAGGTGCATAGCAACAATAATACCACTTCTCGTTGTTGCCCAAACTGTATGCTCGTAAGGAACGATGGAATGAGAACAATTTGTTATGGTTTTCCAAGGATTTTAGTGACGAAATGGTAGAGAAAAGTGATTGAGGGAAGTAAATGTATTGGAAAATGAGAGAGAATGATCATTACTGACACGTTTGGTGGTGGTTATGGAATTAATTGACAATAATACTCCCGTCAATTTTATTGTTTTCATATTTGGATTTGAACTTTCATGTATTTATAAGTTTGCTACCTTGTAAAATTAGTGGCTAAGATTTATTTTTAAACCCGATAATTGTTCTAATTTGAGCCTTTATACATTCTCTCTCTCTCTCTCTCTCTCCTCGCTCTCTATATATATCTATATATATATATATCTATATATAATATATATATATATATATATATTATATATATATCTATATATGGAGTGGTTCAAATGATAACCAAAAAATGTTAAGAACTCTAAGAACCACTTTTTAATTTTTTTTTCATTAAAGGTAATTTTAACAAATCAGACATTAATATCATATTAAGCATATTTTTTTCCTTAGTTTCCAAGTAGTTGCCGCTTGTCGTTGGACCAACGGTGGACCACCGTCGGACCGTCATCGGACTAACACCAAATTCAGTGACATTTTTCTGGCCGTATTCACAACTTAATAGAACAAACGTTATAGTATCATTTCTTTAAGAACACTTTTTTTAACACATATCATTTCATTTTGCAACAAAATATATAAAATTTAATAAAAAAAAATATAATTATCCTTGACAAATTCAAATTTCTCTTTTCTAAATGGTAGATTTGTTTAAAAAAAATATATCGTTATAAGACATATTCACAGTTTAAAATATCATATTGACAGTTTAATAAATATATTAATTCCCTAATACACACTTTATTATTTTCATGCATACACTTATTGATATTTTAACACAAATTTTATATAAAATATACAACTTAATAGAGTCCATTTTTAGTTTAATACATAAATATCACACCATAATACAATCCATTATTCTAATTTACATATTCAGAAAACTCAAACCCAAACTTTACCACCACCAACTAATACTATACGCAACCGCCACCCACTTTTGCTACCATAATAACCATCATTCCTTCCAAATTAGATTTGCATATAAAATCATTGATTGACAACTTAAATATTATATTCACAATTTAATAAACTAATTAATTTACTTATTCGTGTTTTAATGCAAAAATTATAAAAACTAATATATTCTTAAATATATATAAAACAAAAAATATTCATAAGAAAACTAATATAAAAATTTATACATAAATCATTCATAGTTTAACACAAAGTTTATTAAAAATTCATAGCTTAATACAGTCAATTCATAGTTCAGTACACAAAATTCACAGCTTAATATAATAAATTCACAATTTAATGCACAAAAATTCTACATTCACAACCATATTCTCAAATTAAAAGTTATATTTATACCTTGAGATATATAGACTAGTGTTTTCTTCAAAGTTTATTTACATAAATATTCACAATTTAAATTTTACATAATTTATTCAAAATTATATAAAATCATATATGTCTTTCATCTTATATTTTAAAAGCAAACAAAAAATTTATAAAAAAATCACAGCTTAATACCAATCAATTCACAGTTTAATACACAAAGTTTACAACTTACTATAGTCAATTCACAGTTTAAACATAAAATGCACAGCTTATTACAATCAATTCACAGTTTAGACCACAAAAAATCATAGCTTAATACATAAAATTCACAACTTAATACAATAAAATCATAGTTTAATACACAAAAATATGCATTCACAACCATATTATCAACTTATAACTCTTAATACAGTCAATTTACAGTTTAATACATAAAATTCACAGCTTAATAGAATAAATTCATAGTTTAATATAAAAAATTCACATCTTGATATAGTCAATTTATTGTTTAAATAAGAAATTCACAACTTAATGCAGTCAATTCACAGTTTAAAACACAAAAATCATAGCTTAATAGATATCATCATATTTTAACACAAAATCCATACAAGTTTCACAACTTAATTTAGTCTATTCACAGCTTAATATTGTTTATGCACAACTTAATACTGTCCATTCAAAGTTTAATCACAAAATTCATTATAGTTGAAATTTAAGATCCAAAAGATATCCACATCAGATATGTGAAAAAAATAATGTATTCACAGCTTAAAACTTCAAGACCTCCACATTAAAACTTCAAAAATTAGGAGTAAACTAACATATTGATATAGATTTAAAGCACACCAACGAAGATATGAAGTAAACCAACACATCAGAGAAAAATCGAGGAAGAATTTACTCAAAATAACAACAAAAAACTCATTTTCACAAGCTATGGAAGAACAAAATTGAGTGAAAATACTAAAAATATGTGAACAAAAGTAATAAAATGAGTGTACCTGTGATATCCTTCAGATCTGAAACAAAAAAGCACATGAAACTTGTCAATCTCGCAAGAAAACACCAACGACATATAGAAACCACAAAACTAACACTTGAGACAAGAGATTGTAGTTGTTAAAACTCAAATTCAATTAGATCTAACCAGATCTAGATTAGGAACACTATAAAAAACAAGAGAAAACCATCAGACTCTCATATCTAACCAGATTTGAGCAAAAAGCGCCAAGGAAAGTCAACAGATTCACGAATCTGTCAACATACCACCGGACACGACAAACGGAGGTGTTGTTTGCCGAAGACCGCATAGATCTAATCTAGATATGAAAATAACAAACAAATTTTGCAGATCTAAGACATGAAGAAGACGAAACCAGATCTGAAGAAATCATATCTAAATCATAAGCACGAAGCACGAAGCACAAAAAAAAGAACTGATCTGAGATGTTCATGTGGTGGTTTGACATCGGAGGTGCTAACGGTGGTTTAACGCTGACCAGGGCCGGCTTTACCTTTAAATTAACTAAGAAAGGGCTTAGGGCCCCCAATTCCAAGGGGCCCCACTTAACCCATATTCTTCCTTCTCCATTCACACACGCCGCAAAAATCATCAGTCAAGTGAGTCGTAAGCGATTGTTTTCTTCCGATCTTCCTTCACATTCTCTTATTTTCGATTCTCTGCAGATGTCATTACCAATCTCGGTTGAATATTTCAATTCTTGATTTTATTCTCCTTCCTCTGATCGATTCTTGATTGTTCAACCCTTCTAATCCGCTTGTGCGTAAGTTATTATCTTTCTTGTGTTAGCAGATTATTATCCCCTTGCTTTGTGCTAAATTTGTTTATCTTAAGTAGGTAGTCATCATAGATTATTATAAACAATGTTGAAGTTTTGATTTGAATAATATGACTGTTTTTTTTTTTGTAGTTTCGTTAGAGAACTTGTTGCAACTTCTTCACAAATATATGTTGATGAAGCTAAAAACGAAGGGTCTCTGGATGTAATTATGATTCCCAAGATTGAACATGTAAATACAAGTGTTTGAATGCTATTGCTCTTTCAATTTTGAATTAAACCAAACTCAATTAATTGAAATTCTTAATGTTACATCGAAAAAGAAGATGTACTTAATTTCTTTATTGTTCGTGGTCTCACTCATTAAGAAGTAAGGAGTCAATAAAAAATAACCAGGAGTTGATTCTTCTCAGTTGGCTCTTTCAATATGAAGTTCTTTATCAAGCTTTAGCAAAATTACTTTATGATATTGTGGTAAGGAATGAAGAACCATTATGTTGTTTCTAACAACACCGATATATCATAAATGAAGAACACTGATATATCATAAATGAATAACAAGTTGTTTACTTCTGCTTTTTATTAATACAGGGATAAATGATAGGTATATTGGACTCTAAGAGAATTTGTGCACATGCATCACCCATCTATTTTCTCTAATCAACAGTGGGAGGTATAAATTATAAACATTTTTGCATTTTTTACTACATCCTTCTCAGATTTAGCTAGATTTTCCAATGTTTATGATTGATGTTTTTTTTGTATTACTTTGTAGGTGGGTTTGAGTTACCTACTCGTCTTTCAATGGCTGCTACATATTGTGTAATAGTCCTTAGTATGGCATTGACAAGAAAGGAGAAACCATCTGGCACTTTAGAGAATAATAAAAAACTATGCAAACCTTCACAAATATTAGTAGTAGCTATTGGTGGTCATAGAAAAGCAAAGCCAATTAGTCTAGTTTCTGAATTCACAAGGGATGTAGACAAAAGCTTGTTGCTATGGAATCTTCTTAATCAACTCATTCCACTTATGTAGAGACTGCTTGCAGTATGTTCTCGACTTTTTTTTCACTTATTTTCCTATAGTGGTCCCAATTTTGATTTCTTAGTTATGATTTATTGGGTATGTTGATTTTCCTTAGCCTGGATAAAGGAAGTATAATAAAGGCCAAAGGGCCTTAAATTTTTGGTTCGCTTAGAGCCTCAAAACTGGTTGAGCCTCCCCTGACGCTGACGATAGTAGTTGCTCTCCGATCTGATACATTTTTTCCATTTAGAGAGAAAAAATGGAACTGAAGGAGGTCGGTGTTGTTGGTGGTTGTTTGGCTTCTTCAGCGGTAACAGTTCATCAGAGTAGTGGTGGAGGAGAAGAAGTGGCAGTAGATCTAGA